GGGGGGGGGCAGTTGTGTAACAAACGCGTTGGCAGAATAAACTCCGATTGCAAGAAATGGGCAAAACGAGGAAGAAAGAAGGGGAGGGAGAAAGAGGAGGAGTGTGTGTGTGTGTGTGTGTGTATGTATGTGCGTGTGTGCATGTATGTCTGTGTGTGTGCGCCGGGGAGGGGGGACTGACCGGGTCCGCTTAAAGGGAGAGGCTCCGGGAGCTTTCCGGAGCCGGCGGCGGGGCTGCGCGGTGCCGGGCAGGGGCAGAGCCGGGGGGAGCCCCGGCTGCGCCGATCGATGGGGCGGAGGGAGCCCGGCGGGCACGGGCAGCCCGGCGCTGGCGGGGAGCGAGCGAGCGCGCTGCAATGGCAGGAACGGGGTTCGGCGGGATCCCGCTGAGGAGGAGGAGGAGGAAGAGGAAGAGCGGGATGCGGCCGGCGCGAGTCGGTGGCTGCGCAGTCCCCGCAGGTGCGGTCACGGCTCGGGGCTGCGGGGAGCGGGGCCCCCCCGTGCTTCCCCCAACTTGAACTTCCCGTAGTTACCGGAGTTACGGCGGCGGCCGGCGGGCAGGACGGGCGGGAGGCCTCGCGCCGGGCCCGGGGCTGCCGTCTTCTCCTCCTCCTCCTCTTCTTTCCACGGGGCGCGGAGCACCGCAGCTCCCGGCCGGGGCGGAGCGGGGGCTCGGCCCGGGGATGGAGCGGCTCCGGGCGCTGCGGAGTTGCCGGGGCGGGGGGGCGGCGGGGCTGCCCGCCTTCCCGGCGGAGTTCCGGCCACTTGGTAGTTACTCCTGGCACAGCGCGGAGTCGGGGGGAGGGAGAAGGGGGGGGAAGGCTGTGCTGTGTGTGTGTTGCGCTTGGGCTTTTGGTGGTGGTGGGTTTTTGTTGCTTTTTTTTTTTTTTTTTTTTGGCGGAGGAAGGGGGGTGTTCAGCTTTGAAAACGTTACGCTTCCTCGCTCCTCCCCTGGAGAGCAGCCCGGCGTGCAGGGAGGAGGGAGGAGAAAAGGGTGCTGTGTGTGTGTGCGTGCGTGTGCATGGAGCACGGGGGCAGCCCCCAGCCCGACCCTCCTCCAGCCCTCCCAAGTTGCTGCCCGCCCGCCGCGGTGCGTCCCGCAGGCCTCTAAAGCTGTTTGTTGTTGTGTTCCCCCCGCCCCGACCCCCTCCCCACCCCTCTCCTCCCCACCCTCTGCCCAGGTCGGAGGAGGGTTTAAAGGCAGGTGCGCCCGAGGCCGCTCGCCATGTCCAGATCCGGGGACAGGACCTCCACCTTCGACCCCAGCCACAGCGACAACCTGCTGCACGGCCTCAACCTGCTGTGGAGGAAGCAGCTCTTCTGCGACGTCACCCTGACGGCCCAGGGCCAGCAGTTCCACTGCCACAAGGCTGTGCTGGCCTCCTGCTCCCAGTACTTCCGATCCCTCTTCTCCAGCGGCGGCGGCCACCCCCACGCCCTGGGGCTGGGGCCCGGCGCCCAGGACGGGCTCGGGGGAGCCCCCCCGAAGGAGCCGCCGCCGCCGCCGCAGGAGGAGCCGGGCACGCCGTCCTCCTCCCCCGAGGACAAGCTGCTGGCCAGCCCGCGGGCCATCAACAACCTGGTGCTGCAGGGCTGCTCGTCCATCGGGCTGCGCCTGGTGCTGGAGTACCTCTACACGGCCAACGTCACCCTCTCGCTGGACACGGTGGAGGAGGTGCTGTCGGTCAGCAAGATCCTGCACATCCCGCAGGTCACCAAGCTGTGCGTGCAGTTCCTCAACGACCAGATCTCGGTGCAGAACTACAAGCAGGTGTGCAAGATCGCCGCGCTGCACGGCCTGGAGGAGACCAAGAAGCTGGCCAACAAGTACCTGGTGGAAGACGTGCTGCTGCTCAACTTCGAGGAGATGCGCGCTCTGCTCGACTCGCTGCCCCCCCCGGTCGAGTCGGAGCTGGCCCTCTTCCAGATGTCCGTGCTCTGGCTGGAGCACGACCGGGAGACCCGCATGCAGTACGCCCCGGACCTGATGAAGCGCCTCCGCTTCGCCCTCATCCCGGCGCCGGAGCTGGTGGAGCGGGTGCAGTCGGTGGATTTCATGCGCACCGACCCCGTCTGCCAAAAGCTGCTGCTGGACGCCATGAACTACCACCTGATGCCCTTCAGGCAGCACTGCCGGCAGAGCCTGGCCAGCAGGTGAGGGGGCCGGGCCCGAGGGTTTCCCCGCGGGGCGCGAGGCGGGGCCGGGCCGGGAGAAGCCTCCCAGCTGCGGGGCTCCCGGCGGGACGGGGCTGCCAGCCGTGCGCGGGCCGTGGCGCGACCCGTCCCCGCTGGGGCTCCCGCTGGAGGAGCTGCCGTCGTGCTGAAGCCGTGGGGCCGGAGCGTGAGCGTGGGGTCACGCCGTGGCGGCCTGCTGTAATGACCCGCCGTGGGCCGCACGTTGGATTTTGTCCCCGGTTTTTAGCGAGGAGGTGAGTCTTCAGGACATAACGGCACCCAGCCCTAAATCCGGTGAATTACTTTTATAATTAAGTGTTGTCTGTGCACACCTCGATACTGGTGATGCTAAGGTGATTTCCATGCTGCGCCTGCGAACTTGTGACTTCACCCTCTCTGTAGATGTGACATGATGGTTATGTTCTTTGAATAATATGGCGAATCACAGTGCCAAAGGTTGACAGTGTGAGGTCGGTTTGGGGACCTGGAAGCACAGCACAGAGTTTAATGAAGAGTAAATACACCCAAAATGAAGGGCTGTTTTGTTTTTCCTTTTGAAATGTGTTCAGACCTGATCTCATTCAAAACCAGGAAGATAATGCCGTCCTCCAGGTACAGTGACACAGTAGTGCAGGAATCGGAGCACACTGGTTGTATTATGCAGCCTTCTAGCTAAAAGGCTAGTTAATGACTTAACAGTAGCAAGAACAAATAATACATTGCTAAATACTTCAGAAGAAAGTGCAGAGGATTCTTTTTATCTCTGAGTGAGAGATACCCTAGCGATTTAAGTTCAGGAATGCTCAGCCTTCTCTCATTACTCAGCTAGCTGCTCTGTTAGTGTTTTGTCGTGCTCATCACCTTGCTGTCTGATCGATCTCACTCCTAAACCCCCACAACTACAAGCAAACACCAGCGTTTCGCAGGGCAGAGTGTTTCTGAGAGGCTGCTGCTCCAGCTGCTGTGTCCCTTCTGCATTTCAATATTCAGAGCTGCTGACTTTCAGAATGCAAACCCAGCACGGAGTTGTGAGTTAGCCGCTGTGTGCCGCCTGGGGCATGCTGGGGCTCGTGTCCTGGCGGATTGCTACGATACCAGCTGCTTGGTTCAGTGGAGATACCTTCCAGCTTCACTGGTCCATGTCATTTGAAGGATATGTAGTGGTGTTCTGACCACTGAATGCTTACAAGTGTCATGGATGCTGCAAGCATCTGATACTCCTGGTGCTGGAGACTGGCTTGTCACGTAAGCGGGAGCATGCACTTAAGGATCCTACTTTAGACCTAGATTAGATTCAAAGTTGCACTCACTTAATGGCTTGTGGGGAGGGGGGTTTAAACACCACCATTATTTCTGTAAGAGATCTGCATGGATGTGTAAGCGGTAGAATTTAAGAGCCCCTTAACTGTAATGGGGTAACACACCGTCACCTTCCCAACTTCAGCATGTGTTTAATGGAAGTGCTGTTACTGGCTTCTGTTTGAGTTCTTTGGCGTTGTTGAAATTGGAGTGAAAACATCGAGATTTCTGTTCCTTGTAAACAGGCATCAGAACTTAGTCCGAATGCTGGAGATGCTGAAATACTCTGTGTGATAGGGAATACACAACAGGTACATTTTAATTTGGGTCTTGGGTGATAATCTTGGAAATTTATAAAGGCCTGTTATTTGAATTTTAATCATGCTTAGATTTCATCAGAGCGCCTAGATATAGAAGTGCCTTCTCAAACATGAATGAGGAAACAAAAAACATTACCAGGACTATAGAAATTTCCAAACTTGGGTTTTTTGTTACCCATAGCATCTCCAAAGCTGCAATTCTGACAGGTTGGCATACAGGAAAATTTTTGTTTCAAGGAAGAAAATCCTCAAAAAGCCTCTCAAGTTACTAATTTGCTGAAAGAGATCTTAAAAGTAACTGAGCAGTTAAGTATGTGTGCAAATAGATAAAGTCCTTCTCTGTGTAATAATTTTTAGCCCAGATTACCTTTTCTGTGAGCAGTGGTGACCTTGGTAATTTAGAATTTAAAGTTTAATGAAAGGTCATTCACAAAAGACTCACATGTCTTTAGGAAGAGATTAATTGTTCCTCTTGTGCAGCATAATATATACTGTGCGATATACCACGTGCTAGGGAGAAGCGCAGCAGCACAGAGCTGCAGTCACCTGCTTACAGCCCTTGGAAGGAATTTGGAAAAGTCCTGGAATAATCACACTCAGAATCATGATTTGCCAATAACTTTTCTGCTTTTTTTAAAAACAGTAATATTTTGTAACATGCTGCACTGTACGTGCACTTTTTACATATATACACACACTACCATTTTGGAATTTAGCCTACTTATATTTCTCAAGCAAAGTAAGCACAATGGAGAGCACACAAGGTTTTGCTGCTGTCATGCAGTTTTGGGTCATGATCCAGTGTGTGCGCTATGAGCAGAGCTACTTGTAGACGTGGTGCTACCACTGCAGATCCTGCAATGCCTGGGCTGGGAGGTCCTGGTTTGTCTTCTGTGCCACATGGGCAAGGTTCTGCCAAGAAGAGGAAAGGGTATTTACCCGCAGGGAGAGCACTTTCATTTTTTTTCCTGAAGATTTTTGAGAGAAGTTAAATGCTTGAATGTCCCCATGCATTCTTGTAAAATTATTTTTTCAAAGCACAGCAGCTAAATGATTGCTGTCTAAAAAGTTGAGAAATAACATTCCAACTTCTGAACACTCTTGAGTTTAGGCTGTCAGCACGGGAGGTGGATATTTCAGCTCACATTTAATCAGGCACCTCACTCTGCACAAGTTCTACTTGCTTGTCTGGCTTCCATCCCTTTCACCTAATGTATTTCTCAGTGTATGAGATGCTACCACAGCTTCCCAAGACATGGTCAGCTTTGACATCACCTGAAGACATTCCATGCAGAACAGATTGGGCCTGTTAGGATGACCCCAAACATTAGACTTAAATGATTTTGGCTGTGCCTGAAAGACATCATGACTCTGTGCTGTTATGTTTTCTGGAGGTCCGAGAAGAAAATACGTTTAGGTAGAAGAATGTTAATCTTCTGCTTATTTATTTGACTCTCAGGACTTCACTGGAATATTATCACAGATTAGAATGTCTGTGGTTTATTGTGTAATGCAGTGTATTTTATATAATATCTGGTGTATGTTTTCAATTTTTAAAAAGTTCTGGGTTAGAACATTACTGAGTTGCTGGAAGAAATTTCACTTTTGAAGATGAGTGAGCTAGTGAAAATTACTGCTTCACTATTTACTTGCAACAATGAAAATGGTCAAAAACATCTCCCTGCTGTGTAGTGCCAAGTTTTTACCTTTGATTTTGTTTGTGCTAATGCATGACATAGCTGCAGAGAGAAGATGGAGAAATACAGGATACTTAGATGAAAAGGCTTATCATGAAATCTTTTGCATAAATATTGTTGCTTTCTTATAGAACATTGTGACAATGCTATGGTTTTGCTCGTCTTTAACTATTTACAATGATTTCTGTTTCAGACAGACGTGATAAGGTAACAGAGGGTGGGGAGAGGCAGCACAGTACAGCCTCGGAGTTGTTTATCAGTGACAGAACACACATAACCCGTGTTAAAATCAATAGGAATTTGGGCTGATCAGCTCCTTTCCGGATTTGCAGGCAGAGCAGCAGTGAGAGGTCTGTATGGCTGTATCAGGTAACTGGAGAAGACTGAGGAAAGTGGAGCTGGGAGAGAGAGAAAATGCAAGAAAAGAAAGGAATTAAGGTACCCTGAGGGAGAAATGGGACCTAAGTCATGGAAGCAAGAAAGTGCACATGAAGGAGGGAAAGGGGGAGAGAAGTACTATTTTGAAGGGAGAAGAGAGAAAGAATAGGGTATCAAACAGGAAAATAGGAAAACAGGCAAGCAGGGAGATGGGGGGGAAAAAAGGCAAATAAAGAGAAGAGAGAGATTGAAACAAAATGAAAAAAACTAATTCTTGGCAGAAACAGCATCTGTTGTCAATAACAGCTGAGCATTTCAGTTTCTGGAAAACCTGTTTTAGATGTGCGGGAGGAAAAGAGGATGAGGATAAATCAACTGACCTGAGATGGAGAAAGTCCTAGGCAGGAAATACGGAATTAGAGACTGAAATTAAAAGGAGGAGAATAAAAAGACGAAGAGATAAGAAGGCTAAGCTTGACTGTACTGTCTGTTTTCTGGGTTCAGTGAAGTTCCAGAATGCACAGACCCAGCTGTTTTCCTATACTTTTGTTCCCTGAGTTACTAGACCTTCGAGAGATTAGAAGTGTGAATTCTGGTCCAGCTGAAGCTGATAATAGGGTTTTCTCTTTTTCTTTAGTTTTGGCAGAGAGAGGGTGTAATCCAGACTGTTCTGTATTTTGTAATATTAGTGAAAATGTCAGGAAATTAAAGTGGCGAGGGATTAAGACAGGATGACCAGTTTTCACTCAGTAGAAAGGTGGTAACTGTTGATGAAGGGGGGAAAGTGAAGAGCAGCATGAGACACTAGCATTTATGTGGAAGACGTACATATTCCAGTCTGTATTACTTTCTGCAGAGGAGATTAAAAATGTGAAAAAACGGGTTGTCTCTTGGCAATTAAATAATTTCCTTCTTGAATGCACTATTTGTCTGCACATTCTTTTTTACTCCAGTTCAACTTCTTTTCCTGCTAAAATTTTTGTGGAGTTGCTGGAGGTGTTTGATAGTTGTTAAAAGAAAAGTGCTTTTTTTTTTTTTCCCCACTGACATACATTGTCATGTGTGCTAGAAACTAGCCACCTGACTCTGCCTCTGTGATTCTTACACCAATATTTGAATTTTTAACTAACAGTTGTACTTGTTGTTAATTTGGAGTCTGAAATATTTCTCATTCACAATAAACATCTGAATAAAAAAAAAATCCATTTTATGACAGACTTGAATTATTAACGTTTGCATTACAGTGTGAACAGAGTGAACACGAGGCTCAGGTTTATTTTGTTGG